TGGGAAGGATGTAAGGGTTTGTAGTGGAGCAAGTGTCCATGTTGATTGGTCAATGTTTTATTTCAATCTCTGCAGAAAGTTTTCATAGTATTGTGTTGCATTATCTGATACCGTTTAGATGTCTTATAAAATGTTACGCCCGCTGTTTTTCACAATTATTTTAATTGAAAAGATAACATTAAAACTACAATAAAAATCTAAAACGTTTAAAAAGAAAAGAAATATACCACAATTTTCAAATTTTGTGAATAAATTCTTGTTAAGTTTGATAAAAGTATTTATGAAAAATAACTAAGGGTAATGGAAGTCAAGTCGATGTGATGGGAAGAGTAAATCGATTTAAACTGAACTAATCGAAGCGAAGAACCGTAGTGTGGCCCCCTCTCTCTATTTCCTGTACAAAGGGCAGCCTCTTAAAGATAATAACTTCTCTCCAAGCTAGTGGTAGATCTTCTTTACAACGTCCGAGGCCCAACAGAAGGATATCTACCTAGATACCTAAGTTCGATTCACTCTTAGAATAAAAAATCGAATTCATAAATACCAACTAGCGTAATCAATCGTTCGAAAGTTCTGTCGATAGTTTCGATAATATCGATTGGTTTAATTCATGATATCAATGAACATTACGATTCCTGATAAAGATGCGAAAAAATTACTTTTTGTCCTACTATATTCTTTAATAATTCTCCACTTATTCCTGTTGAATAGATCCTTTATCTAGGACTGGAACTTCTGCTAAACATTTCCGACTACTTCAACACTTACTAGACAAATTTTCTAAGCTTCCAATCAATTATAAAAGGCTCATTTGGTTGACTATAATAAGGTATATTTATACTTATGTAGTTGAGCTTTGGGTCTCCACTAAACCATCAAATTCCTCTCATATCCAATTCTTAAAATCCTCAATTATCACAAATGAAACTATCCATAATGATCTTAATGTCCAGTATATTTGCAATTAAGCCCAATACTGTTACCTATCGTTCAGGCTCATGCAACCCCACTACTTTCTAACTTTGTATCTTCTTCAATTCTTGATTCCTGCTAGGCGTTAAAAATAACAAGCCTAGGGAGCTTTTAATGTAGAATTATTATTGATTTAAAATTTTCCAACTGCAAATTATTATTTCTATTTATTTAAATAATTTAAAAATTGCTTTATTGACGTTGGAAGTTTTAGCTTGAAATGCCAAGAAGTTAGATTCAAGTAAATATTTTTATTTTTGGATAAATATTAGTGAGTAAATGTTTTAACTTTCCTTTTGTGTGGAGATCAGCTTTCTATTTGATTTGGATGACCTATTTAATAGAAGCTCGGTGAACCTTTCGCTGTGTTCCTATCATCAAGAGGAATATAGTGTCAACTTGGATCTGACAAAATCGTGTCATGTCTTTTAATGGAGCCTGAACCTTCTACTTACATTACAGGATCCCGAAATATATCTTTGAATAACAAAATAGAATTACTCATTTGAGATATCTAGCCTCTTATTCTTGTCGTTATTTAGGAAAGGAGATCTGTCATCCAGCTCTTTTTCAGTAGCCTTATGCCATCAGAATGCCCATCATGTCAGTTGTACTGTATAAGTCTATTGTTGTGTCCCCCCTATTTATTAATGATTTTCTTTTAAAAATACAAAAAGTATTTGTATTTCATTTCAAAGATACTAATATACAAATAGAGTTGGTTCCATGTATGAAACGCTGGTCGTCCACCAAAACGTATATTATATTTGATATACGTTTTCTGATAATAATTTAAATATTTTGTAATTAAAATACACTGTGTTTTAAAAAGACAAAATACGTTGTATTTTAAAATAATAATTAAAATACTTCTTTCAAAAAAATGTATAAAAATAGAGTAGGTTCCATGTATGAAATGCTAAACGTCCACCACAAAGATTTTAGTATTTTTTTTTTAATTCCAAAAAAATAATAATTTTGTATAGTTTGTAATTAAAATACACTGTGTTTTACATTGTTTTAAAAACACAAAATAAATGATATTTTAAGATAATAATTAAAATACTTCTTACTCAGGTCTGCTTCTAAGTATGTTTTTGTGAATTTAGATCTTATTTATCTATACAAAAATACTATAAGTGTATGAAAATAACACAAACCCATTTATTTATCATATATATATTGGGGTGCGCATCTAAACCTCCTCCCCCCCCCCACTACCTCCAAGATCGATGACGCAATAATCTATTCCCCTCTTCTCTCTCCTCTTCAGATATTTTATTGCCTACCTTTTCTTAAAACCAGTGCAAGCTAAGGTAGAATTATAAAAATCGTTGACCATATACAATTACACAGTTCCATTTGTCTTGTTCTTTAGTGCGAAAATTCCCCATCACTTTATAACCCTATCGAAATTTGCCCTCCTCAAAAATTTTGATGGCGCAACTTGTGCGATGAAACCATCTTCTGGTCACCCCTGTATACCTATAGTTGCGACAAGTGCACAACATAATTATTTCATTAAGGAAAAATTTATCAAAGTTAAATTTTTTTCAGGTTACTTAATGACTTTTTGCAATTAATTACTGATAAAATAAATATATTGATTTATACATAGTATTACGTAAGAGGATAACGGTTGTGGGCTAATTGTATAAATAGGTTATTTTTTTCTTTCGTAGGATCGGTTGATTTCTAAAAACTTTTTTTCGGTTGAGCGGTTTACACTTAGGTTTTGTTTAGGTAACAGCTGACCAGTGCTTGAGTATTGAGCAACCGCTAATAGTTTTCATCTTTTATCTTTTACAGCGTTACATGCCGAATGTTACATGACCATTTCTCTAAGACTAAAATTGATAATTTTTCTCATAATGGGTCCCTCGTTACAAGTAATGCCATCCAATCTATTAATTGAGTAGCGTTCAAATTAGAGCTAATTTTGACAATTCTTTAGATAATATTTGATTAGACTAGTTACGCTAAAGATAAAGGCGTTATATCAGCTTCTAGAACGAATGAATACTCATTAATGATTGGCTAAGATTTGTATCAATCAGGTCTGACAGACCACCTGGATAGTTACGTATTAATATAACATAATATTGTTGTCCATGTTTGTAATAACTTCGTATATATAATGAATAACAAAAATTATTAAATATTTAATAGAATAGTCAAATTGATGTACTCATGAACTACTTATATATTAATGTTAGGGTGTAAAAATATATTATTTATTTGCTAAACGGATGTATTGTCCAGTTATTTCTTAGACTGTTCTTGTTCTGTTCTTCTGGGATGGAAAATAATTTTATCCAATGAATTTAAATTTGTTATAATATATAAAAATAACTTATAAACATGCGACAGCCTGCGAGCGAACTCAAGCGGTATAAGTTGAAACTAACTTTTTTTGCGAGTCTTGATTACTCATATAGTGACTTTTTTGTCACTTATTTAGAACTGAAATACACATGATTTAATAAATTATTACCAGTGTACTAATGGAGTTATAAACGTATTGTTTTAATGAGTTTATAGAATTTTAAGAAATAATTAATTTATTAAAATTAAATAATATTCTTTCATAAAAAATGATGGCAGGAATATTACAATGAAATATTAAGGGCATGAGATTTGTCCTCCTTTTATCCTCCTGAAGATTAATATTGTTAAATATTTAGAATATTTGTTATTTTCAAAGTTATTTTGAATTTATTTATCGTTTATATTAATTTTTGATAAAATATTTATTCTTTTATGGTATATATTATATAAATAATAACTGTTATTTTACTAAAAGTAACTGTTACTAAAAGTGACTGGCTAATTAAGGAAAAATAGACTATTTTTTTAATCGATTTCATTTGCGATAAATTTACAATTACCTAATGATGTTATTGTAACATATTATTGCGCTATATGGTTTTAACATGATACTTTAACATAATTAAACAAATATTTTAATTAATTTTGTGGAAGGGAAAGTAGCTCAGCGAATGGACACTTTGCTTCTATGTTTGGATTACCAGGTTCGAATCCGGTTGTTTCAGATAATTATCTATTTCATTTTACATTAGCCGTGGTCAGAACCTGATATCGAGGACCCTGCTAGAGCACATCCAGTCTCTATGAATGCTGCAGTAGAATTATAAAATTGTATTTTCTATTAAATTTGGTGAGGTCTCTTCTTAGTTCCTTGGTTTGAAAGCTGAACTCAAAAATAACAAAACGGTAGACGTAAGCCTTTTAAACCACACAGTCACTATAATACATTTTCTCAATCATAAACTTGGTGTTTTTCTTTTTCAAGTCCTCAGAACCAAAAACCCTCCCTACATATTATAACTCCTTACTTTACGCTCCTCTATCCACACTCTTAACACCAGATCTCAACCTATAGGTTTATATATCTCCTCTCCTAAAACCACTTCCTTCAGTAAATCCTTCGTCATTCGTGCTACCTCCTTCTGGAACTCCTTACCCATCTCCATACGTCAATGCACGTCCATAAACTCCTTCAAACAACTCCTATTCCAACACCTACTACAAATCCAAACTTCCGCAAGCTTGCAAAAATTTCTGAGTTATATAATAACGTTGGTCACCAGCATTTAATTGATAGAAGTCATTTTATTTTTATTTATTAACTTTTTTTATATCTCAGTATTTATTGTTTATATTTGTGTTTTTCCTTAATATTTTTTGTAGATATTTATATTCTCCTTTGAATTTTTTTATATATATTTGTATTATTTTCCTCAGTATCTTTATATATATATATACAATTTCCTAAGTATTTTCTGTATATATTTGTATTATATCTACATGCCAGACTAATTTAAATATTTTTGAACTCTACTATTATTCTAAGGAGACTTCAGTCCCAGAATAAAATTATTTTTAATTTCATTTCATAAACTATAGATGAGCAAAATTATTGAGTGATCATTTGTACGGGAGAGAATAAAGAGCTGTAGGACGTTAGAATAAATTCTGAATCTGAGAGTTGTAAATACAAAAGATTGATGAAGGGTGAGGACGGGTCCGCTAGCTCTGCTGAAGAGATGACATCTTCTCGAAGAGAGGAAGATGGACTGCGGATGACCGTACTGCTCCTTGTCACGCCACCGTAATTCCTTTCTCTTCTTCTTATCTTCTTAAGAATGTCTATGTCTGAGAATGTCATAACAGATCTAGAAGAATAAAACATAAATGGTGATCAAAAATACAGGATACCCACTTTGTAGAGGCTGTGTATGCCCCAAGATTGGTATCGAATTCAGTTCATTATTTTTTAGTTTGGATGTTTTATAAAATAATTACTTTATATCTCTTTATATATTTATGGTTACTTTAGTATTATTATTAACTATACTATTATATAATATGGTATTACAGAAAGCGGGATGCTGAGCATGGAGCTGGGAGGTCTGGGGGAGCTCCACCCACACTCCCTCCAGGTCCACCACAGCATGATATCCGAGGAGCCCAAGAAGAGTGAGTAGGCCAATATAATATTATATTATAATAGATCATCATCATCATAATAATAATAATAATATCCTATTAGCAAACATTTTTTTTTTTGTTTTCCTTTCAGGCTATACGGAGTTTTCCAGGGCCAAGGAAAAATGCCAGAGTTAAAAACCCCACTGGCATCTGGACGCGAACTCGTTCTTATTTTATTCCTATATTACTTATTTTAACCTAATAGCAACCTAATAACGGAAGTTTTGGATGATAAAATAATTACGAGTTCGCGTCCTGGTGCCGACGGGGCTTTTATCCCTGGCATTAATATGCTCTCTGGCCCGCAAAAAACCTGTATAGCCTAAAAGGCGAGAAAGGGGAGAACAAAAAATCTATAATAATTAGGAGGCGTTGGGATTTTACGCTTATAAACAATAACATACAAACAAAAACCTATAATATATCATAATGATAAACATTAGTAGTGTTGTAATAACGTTGAATCCCTTTATTGTTAAAAAATTGATTGTATTTTCTCTTGAAATAATCTTTGAAAAAATGATACACCTTAATTATAAATATAAATGAATTTAGAATATAAAGATTATTACATAGATGTTTTTCATTAAGATATAGTTGACTCATATTTTTTATCATTTTTCTATTCACACGTGTCACTGACGAAAGTGAATATGAACTAATGTGCTGTAATATGTAATAATGAACAAGAAAATGCCATTTCATACTTTGAGGAATAATAGTACTCAGCAACACCTCTTACCCGTGTAATTTCTCGACTCGTAATAATTTATTAAATCATATTTAATTTTCTATGCATCTCTATAACAGTTTTAAATAAGTGATAAAAAAGTAACTAGCGACACTTAAGTAAAAAAGAGCCGGGCACTACTGATAAATAATGTATTCCGTTTTGTCGGCCGTGGATCGACCCTGGGGTTTCGAGACCCATCCTGGAGCACACCTAGCCTCTGTAAAGTGGGCATCTTGATTAAATAATTAATCAAGGGGAAAATCAGGTGGTTGAGCGTGATCTCGGTCAAATCACCTCCTTGAACAACCGTTGACTAAGAAACAATATTTTCTTACAAAGTACTGAACACAAAGATTTTTTTAAAATTTCATAGTACTAATGACTGGTTCAATATAGAACCTATAATGCATTGTTTATGTAAACCTAGATGCTAAAGAGGGTTGAGGGCAGAGTATCCCCGAAACGTCTAAATAGAAATAATAAAACACTATCAATTATGAATTTCTATTATTTTTAATTTGACATGAGGCATACTTTTGTTTGGGGGGGGGGGAGGGGACTGAGTTTTAAAGGTTTATTCATAAAGTTCTTATGAAATTTAAAAGGAGTTGAAATGTTCATAGAAAACTTTCAAGAAAAACGGCTGTATTCCATGTCATTCGGAGCTATTAAGGAATACGTTGGAATAGTCGTGTTCACATTATTCCAGATTAACAGGGTTGTACTCCATTATAAATTCCGTTGAAAAATTATTTCAAATATTGGTCCTTCAACACCTGCATGACATCTTTAAATAATGCTCCATCTTAAGCCTCTATTTACAGCTGGGATCTCAATACTTCGGGAATGACCCTCCAAACAGAAGTCAATAGCTGCCTTACAATAGGACAACTTCCTCACTATAAAAATGGAGTATTTTTGAAGAGAAAGTTTGACAAATGAGGGCGGTCTAAGAAATAATTCTAAGAGAAACCCGCGGAGGAGACCACAAGGGGGTGGTCGCAGGTTTGCCAACTGTTAGTTAGGCCCGTGCCTTTCTTTCACTTTTAAATACCATCGAGTCGAACCCAATCTCCCACTACCTCTGTCGAGGAACTTACCTGTAATTACCTTCCTTACTATCGATGACCTGTTGCTATCGAAACCAGCTGGTAAATTGCACTGCATATTATTTATTTCGCAACATTTTCCATTATATCAAAGTGTTTTGAGATTCATTACGTGGGTAGGCCAGGAAATAAATTTCAACCCGCCCAGGCCGGATTCGATTCGGTTTTGCTAGGCTCAAGAATAGTTTAAGTTTAAGCTTTAACAGTCTTGGCCATCACGACCTCTTAACAACGAAAACAATTTCAATATGCATTAAAAAGTATAATCATAATCCACCGGTAGCTTTCGGACTTGAACTCCCTCCTCCCACCCTCACCTAAAATAGAAATTTTTTTTTTAATTGGTTCTTATTATTATCTGTTAGTAATCAGAGTAAAATATATAAACAATCAAACTGTATAACCTTTTTAATTAATGTTCCTGTATTTTTTTTTCACTGACATTAACGATGACTTTACCATTATTTTATATAGCTACTTTCCTTTTCTTCCACAGTATTTACCGTTATAAGAAAAAAATATCCTTGTTTCACAAATAAGAAAATTTGTTATTCTTACATTGGTTCATATTTGTTTCAATGAGTTATACGTAGTCTTTTGAAATTTACAAAGCATATTCAGCTACTAAATGTAAGCATGTGTCAAGAAAATTCTAAAAAAAATATCCTTAAAACAGGGGTGCCCATCCCTCATCCCCCCCAAGGCCGATGGCGCATAGTCCTTTCTCCATCCCTCCCAAGATATTTTATTCTTCTCTTCTTCTTAAAAACAGTTCAAACGAAAGTAAAATTTGACTATTCGTAGATTATATAACATTACACATCCTGTGGTGTGTTCCATGATTCCACTAGTCTTTCGATTTGAAACTTTTCATTTTGAAAAGCCTTAACCCCTTCGAAATGTGCCCAATTCAAAAATAAAAAAAAAACATCAAAAATCGCCCCCTCATTAATTTTAATGGCGCAATTTGTGCCATAAAATCCCCTTCTTGAAAATAACCAAAACAAAACTCTGGATCCACTACTTCATATAATAATAATAATATAGTATATTATAAGTAGTAGAAGATAATAAAAATTAAATATTGTGCCATAAGCATAAATGAATTATTTCACTATTACGTTGTCATATTTATGATGTTTGTACTATTTTAATCTAATAGCACCTTTTCACATTGGAGACCTACGAGGTACAGCATTAATTTCATTTTTTTTTTCATTAATCACATGAGAATTTTACTACAAAAATACTGCATACATTTTTTCATATGAATATGTTTCTTTTATTTAAAAAAATACATTTTTTATAAGTTTATTTATTTCTTTGGGGACCTCATTACCATTAAGTCTAAATTCAATATTGATAAATTTACAACTAACAACTATGCTTTATTTAGAATGAGACATGATTAATCATTTGAAGTATCGTCGGTAAAAGCTCGAAATATTAATTAAATCTTGTCAAATATTAATTTATATAGATATTATCTTGTGATTTTAAATTATTTTTTACGCCTGAAATAAATTCAATTAATCAAAATATGCTCAATATATTCAACATAAAAGTATAGTTCATAATTAATTTCAGAACTATTCGAATCCTCTCGTTTTTAAACTAACTTCTTCTTCGATTCCTGATAACCCTCCAAGGCGTCTGAAAAGAAGATAGTCTCGCGATCTCCTTATGTAGAAATCTTATTAGAGTGCTGTCAATGGGTCGTTTCTCTACACGTTTTTTTATGTCATTGTATTTCTCTGTATTATATCTGTATTAGACGGGTTGTTAGATGTAAATTTCACTAATAGATAAAAAATAAACACACATAGAAGTTCGCCCAAATATTTAAAATGGCTTGTTCCATAATATCTGCTGCTTTTTTTGAAAAAAATAATGCATTTGCAAAAAACTCCGGGGCTTAACTATACGCTTAATAACGATGATGTTGTTATTAGCGGTATACGAAGAAGAGAATAATCAATGAAAAATACACTTACTCGCTAAGCAGCACATCATCTTAGTATTTAGTAGTTAGTGGTTTAGCAGCTACGTGTAGGTTACTATACTTTAGTAGCTTTGGATATAGGTGGCCTTGACCCCGGGAGAGGCCAGCTGACCTCCGCGGTCAACCTCTTTACTGCCCCTGTAATCATCATCATCATCAACTAGTTGCAACTTCAAACAGGTTCTGCTACTTACTTACTAACACTAGCATAAATTACTACTACTAATAATAATAAGTTTACTTAACGATATTTACAATTTACTATATGTACACAATAATCAGTCATGTTTTGGTATACAACAGACTACAGTAATATTAAAAATTATTAACTTAATTACCATTCCTTTGTTTTTTTACAGTAAGAATAACTAATAAAAAAAATGATATAAATAAAATAAAAATAATAACTATGTAAATAACTAATATATAAATAAAATGAACAATAGTAATAAAATGAAAAATTATTTACATTTCAATAAAGATATATAGTATATTTTTTTTTTTTTTTTTTTGTTGCCTCTACTCTGTAGGGTCATTGGCAACACTTTGTTATAGAAATTTATTCTTTTTAAAAATTCAAATGTTTTTAACAGCTACTTCGCTGCCATCCTAGATTTCTTTTAGCCTTTTTTGCATTTCAAACTTTTTCTTAACTGTTATAGGATAGACTTGTAGAATGTGTTTTACTTTTCCTTGGATATTGCAACTCTCGCAGGTCGGAGGATCAAGTCCACTTAGTAGGACTTTCTTAGTCTGCAGAGTGCTGTCTCTTCTTCCTGGATCTTGGACTTTTTCTTAAGATATTCTTTGTAGGAATTTGACTGATAGATTCCACCGGAGTTGTGCCTGTCTTTCTTACCATTAATCGGCTTTTTCATTGTCGGTTATCCCGCAATGCGAAGGGACCCAGACGAACACAACTTCTTTGTCCTTCTATCTCATTAGCCATCAAACGTTTCTTATTTCTTTTGTTGCTGTATATTTTATATATGTTAATTATGCTAAACTAAAATAAGTGTTCTATGAATCTTATGCAACATTATTTTGGTTAGTTTTGTTTCAATAAAATATATATTGTTCGTCTTTGTTTGTATCTTCTTAAAATTTGTTTATTGTAATTTAATTTTTACTGATGTATTTGTTGGGTT